TTTTTTTTTCTTTTTTTTATTAGGGGGATGGGTTTGATATTTTGACCTTTTTTTGGTGAATGGTTTGAAATTTTGCATTTTAATTAATTTACATTTGGTCAGTTTGTGTCATTTCCCTCTCGGTTAAAATGTAGTCATTTTATGCAGATGCAAGTTTTTGTGAAATTTGTTATGGTCGGTTTGAAATATAAATTTGGTCAGAACATATTTGAATTTGAAATTTTAAATTTAAATATATTATTTTTTTATTTAAATGAAATGTATTTGAATTTAGTTTATATATATATACTTGACATCATATATTTTAAAGTTAAAGTTACATATATTTTAAATATATTTTTAACTCATAAATTTTAATTTCAAATTCTTGTATTTATCAAAATAAGATACATCCTTAATGAAATCTTGGACCAAGTTTCATGGGTTACAGTTGAAGAATCTATCTAGGGAATTAAAAAGTGTATATATATTTTTTTATGTGTTCTTATGTAATGATTTTTTAATTTTTCCTTAAATTTTAATTTTTTATTATTTTATAATTTTTATTAAATTCAAGAATTTTATTACAAATACTTAAAATTAAGATTTTGAATTATCTACGAAATTAAAAAAATGTATATATATTTATGGTGTGTTTTCATGTATTGATTTTTTAATTTTTCCTTAAATTTTAATTTTTTATTATTTTATAATTTTTATTAAATTCAAAAATTTTATTACAAATACTTAAAATTAAGATTTTGAATTATTCTATATCAATCGCATCTAGATTTTGTAACCTGATAATTATATATCTCGTACTAAAGTATACCCTTCAGCCCAAGGGTTGGGTTCGAATCCCCTTCTCTTAAAATGCAATTCATTCAAAAGAAAAAAAAAAAACTATCTTATATCAATCTATTGTGTTCTTTATAAAGAGATTAATATTTTTTTGCCAAAATATATTTAATTTTTAATTTTGAGAGAATTTAAACAATATTTGAATATTTGAAAATAAAAATATATGTAATTATCTTATTAATGAAATAAAGATTCAATTAAATAATGAGTAGAAGAGAGTTTAATTTAACATGAAATTCAATTTTAAATGTACGATATTGTAGTGCATCTAAACAATGTATTTTCAAACACATGTAATTCAAATTCATTTTTCTTTATTTAATCCAAACAATGTATTAAGGAATTTCCTAACAATGTTTTAATTAAATGTGTATTTGTTATATATTTTTATTTTTAATTTATATAAAAATATTAAAATTAATTTAAATTTTATTGACTATCTAATTAAAAGTTTTATATAATATTTGTGTTGAAAATAAAATTTATTTTTATAAATTTTCATGCAAATTAATAGACAATGATATAGGAACAATTTTTTTGGATAATTTTTTTAAACAACCTTTTTATATAACTTTCGTATATCATTAAATGAAA